TTGATGTGGATGTTGCTGCTGTGATAACAGTTACAGGTCGCACTTGAAAATGAGACCTCCGGTATCAACGTGATTTTACATGTCCTAAATAAATGCTTAATAATATAATAATAAGCTGACAAGCTAGGTGACCGCAGACACCGATACACGCTGCTGACAAGCTAGGTGGTGACTGCAGACACCGATACCCGCTAATTAGTGCTAACATATAAACATAAATAAAATAATACTAGAATTTCCGACTTTCACTTACTGAAAATCCTGGAGCACAGACTTCTTGGACGGTCTGTTGGTATAATTAATCGAACAGCAAGCCATATTACTCCAATATTTGCCTGAAAAAATATCTAAAAGGCACAGACACGGCTGAGAGGACAGGTTCAATGCCTTGAACATGGGCACGAATTGGCTGAGATGACGCCGAGCAGACGGCCGAGTCTGAGCTCAGTTCCGCACAGCGGAGCCAGCGTCTAGTTAGCATGCTAGTTAGCACCCGTGATGGTGCCACCTGTCACTCAAAGTGACCACGCCCTTAATTATGTGCAATTTCAAACCTTAATAACATTTAAACTAAAGAGTTAGAAAAAAATTCCCCCCCCCCCCCCACAGTTGTCATGAAAGGGGAAATTAACTATAGAGACCAAAACCATTTTTTGTACCAGGCTGTAAACATGTTAATTTCTGCCCTAAAGTTGGGCATTTTTACATGGGGGTCTATGGGGATTGACTCACTTCCGGAGCCAGCCTCAAGTGGACAGTCAGTGAACTGCAGTTTTTGGCACTTCCGCATTGGCCTCACTCGTCTCCCCTGGAGGTTGGGGCTTGGAGAAAACACAGGGGAGGTGAGAGACACTAAAGGTTGCAAACTAGAGGGATTCAAAACAGTCGAAGTATGGCTCACCAGTGCCCTCACCTTCCCTGGCAAGCCCAGTCTTAACGGGCAGAAGGCGATGAAATGGCCCAGGTGGCCACAGTAGATGCAGCAACCCTCTGAAACTCATCGCTGGCATTCCTCTGGAGTCAGGTGGGATTCAGCCAAGCTGCATAGGCTTGGCTCCTTCGTGGTTGGGGGAGGCGCTGTGGTAGAGTCAGCAGGAGGAGTGCGTCGCCAGGAAGAAGGAAAATAAGAATTGCCAGCCTGTTGCCTCTGCTGGAGCGGTGGGGAACTGCAGAGTCTGGTTCTGCCTCTCTCTCTCTCTCATACAGACACTTGTCAATCTTTATAGCCAGTGCGATAAGGGAATCCAGCTCTGCAGGTTGGTCCAGGGGGCTAATTGGTCATTGAGAGTGTCAGAGAGTCCATCAAGAAATGCATCAAACAAGGCTGGCTGGTTCCAATCACTCTCTGCTGCTAGAGTCCTTAACTCTATGGCATAATCAGAGACCCTCTTCTTACCCTGTTGCAGTCTAACCAGGGCTCGGGCTGCCTCCCGTCCAAGGGCTGTCTGCTGGAAGATCTGGGTGAAGGTCTTGGAGAACAGCGACAGTAAATTGCAGACAGGTGATTTACGACTCCACTCTGCCGTCGCCCAGGCCTCTGCTCTCCCATTCAGGTGAGAAATAATGTATGCAATCTTCAAGCGGTCAGAGGGAAAGGCAGCAGCCTGAAGCTCAAAATGCAAATCACACTGGGTTAGAAAGGTTCTGCAGTCACCTGAGTCTCCAGAGAAACGCTCTGGTCTGGAAAGGTGGAGAGGCAGGGACGGAGTGGCGGGCGCAGGAGAAGCAGCATTGGACCCAGATCCCGGTGGTGCCACAGGTGTCGAATCAGCAGAGACCGGCAGGTTCTGCATCTTCTGCATTTGGCCAGTGAGGTGGTTGATCTGGGTTCTGAAAGCTCCCAGGAGGGACTCCTGACGATTTGTCAGCTCCTTCACTTCATGGCGAAGAAGACTGATTTTTTCATCTTGACTGTGGATCTTGCGAACCTGTGCCTGGAGCACAGAGCGTACTGTATCTGAGTCTGCTGAGTCCATGTTATGGCAAGTTCGTACTGTCAGGAACTGAACCACGGACTTGGACTCAAAACGCAGACTCTGACTCATTTCCAAAAATCAGTCATTTAAAGCAGCTGTGCGGAACTTTTTACCATTCATAAAACTGTCCCTAGTTCGTATCACCTCCCCTTGAATATCTGCATATTTATTTGAACCCAACAGCGACAAAAAAAGCCTTTCTCTATATGGCTATTTAGTGTAGCCTCGGTCGGGTCGGACACCAGTCAGCAAACCAGAATATGGCACCCGGAGGCGGAAGTAAGTCTGCACGCCCGCAGCAGCCCGCAGCCATTAAACCACAGAAGAAGAAGAAGGAGCCGTGTTTATGAGTAGGATTTAAGAAACAGGCTAAATGACATGTAGCTGGGAGTAGTCTCTTGTACAGTAGGTGGTGGTATGCACCTGGAAGTTGTTTGCGATCCGCCAATAAATTGAGAGACGAAGAAGAGCCGTGAGAGTGTTCTTCGAGGCAGCGGTACACAACGGGCATCGCTGAACACATAACAGTTTTACCAGATGTATCTATAAGGACTTGGTTGTACTTTCGATGTCATGGCGGATAAAGAAGGAGCACCATCTAAAAGAAAAAGAACAGGAGAAAAGAAGAAGGCTAAATGGGACAGTGATAGGGCTCGAGCCCAAACGCGTGTAAACCTCGGTTGGGCATTCACCAAGTGGAGAGAGCTGAGAGATTTGAAAGGTTTTAAAACTGATCCCAAGTCGGCCCTTTTCCTAATCGACAGGTATGTAATTTTTGTTTTTATTTAGAGAATATACCGCAACTTGTTAGACGTTGTTTCACTTCAATATACAGTACAGGCCAAAAGTTTGGACACACCTTCTCATTCAATGTGTTTTCTTTATTTTCATGACTATTTACATTGTAGATTCTCACTGAAGGCATCAAAACTATGAATGAACACATGTGGAGTTATGTACTTAACAAAAAAAGGTGAAATAACTGAAAACATGTTTTATATTCTAGTTTCTTCAAAATAGCCACCCTTTGCTCTGATTACTGCTTTGCACACTCTTGGCATTCTCTCGATGAGCTTCAAGAGGTAGTCACCTGAAATGGTTTTCCAACAGTCTTGAAGGAGTTCCCAGAGGTGTTTAGCACTTGTTGGCCCCTTTGCCTTCACTCTGCGGTCCAGCTCACCCCAAACCATCTCGATTGGGTTCAGGTCTGGTGACTGTGGAGGCCAGGTCATCTGCCGCAGCACTCCATCACTCTCCTTCTTGGTCAAATAGCCCTTACACAGCCTGGAGGTGTGTTTGGGGTCATTGTCCTGTTGAAAAATAAATGATCGTCCAACTAAACGCAAACCGGATGGGATGGCATGTCGCTGCAGGATGCTGTGGTAGCCATGCTGGTTCAGTGTGCCTTCAATTTTGAATAAATCCCCAACAGTGTCACCAGCAAAACACCCCCACACCATCACACCTCCTCCTCCATGCTTCACAGTGGGAACCAGGCATGTGGAATCCATCCGTTCACCTTTTCTGCGTCTCACAAAGACACAGCGGTTGGAACCAAAGATCTAAAATTTGGACTCATCAGACCAAAGCACAGATTTCCACTGGTCTAATGTCCATTCCTTGTGTTTCTTGGCCCAAACAAATCTCTTCTGCTTGTTGCCTCTCCTTAGCAGTGGTTTCCTAGCAGCTATTTGACCATGAAGGCCTGATTAGCGCAGTCTCCTCTTAACAGTTGTTCTAGAGTTGGGTCTGCTGCTAGCACTCTGTGTGGCATTCATCTGGTCTCTGATCTGAGCTGCTGTTAACTTGCGATTTCTGAGGCTGGTGTCTCGGATGAACTTATCCTCAGAAGCAGAGGTGACTCTTGGTCTTCCTTTCCTGGGTCGGTCCTCATGTGTGCCAGTTTCGTTGTAGCGCTTGATGGTTTTTGCGACTCCACTTGGGGACACATTTAAAGTTTTTGCAATTTTCCGGACTGACTGACCTTCATTTCTTAAAGTAATGATGGCCACTCGTTTTTCTTTAGTTAGCTGATTGGTTCTTGCCATAATATGAATTTTAACAGTTGTCCAATAGGGCTGTCGGCTGTGTATTAACCTGACTTCTGCACAACACAACTGATGGTCCCAACCCCATTGATAAAGCAAGAAATTCCACTAATTAACCCTGATAAGGCACACCTGTGAAGTGGAAACCATTTTAGGTGACTACCTCTTGAAGCTCATGGAGAGAATGCCAAGAGTGTGCAAAGCAGTAATCAGACCAAAGGGTGGCTATTTTGAAGAAACTAGATTATAAAACATGTTTTCAGTTATTTCACCTTTTTTTGTTAAGTACATAACTCCACGTGTTCATTCATAGTTTTGATGCCTTCAGTGAAAATCTACAATGTAAATAGTCATGAAAATAAAGAAAACACATTGAATGAGAAGGTGTGTCCAAACTTTTGGCCTGTACTGTATGTCGACATGGAAGTTATAAGCAAGCTAAATGTAACATTAGCTGATGTGAACCGCTTTTGTCTATTAACGTTACAACAAACGCCACAAAAGTATCTGTGACTGTGACCATGAACACAAATATACAGCAGGCAGTTGTCCTCAGTTTACAAGAAATTCAGAGCTACACCAGAACATATATGATTTTCCTCTCACTCTCCAAAACAAATGCATGCGGTAATTACTGGTTGCAGTCGAGATTTTACGACACCAGGCTGTGGGTGTCATACCGCTTCGACCAAAGGGGGGCACTATAATCAACGAAAATGTAAAATTCCGCACAGCTGCTTTAATCAGAAAGCGGTCAGTAAACAGGATATCAAAAAGCAAGGCAACAGTGTCCAAATCGGCAGGCAAAATACTAAGTCAACAAGCAAAAAGCAGGTCTGGGGAACTAAAGGGCTAAGTACTCTCACAAGGGAACAAAAGGCTGGAACGCTCACAAGGAACGAGACGAACTGGCACAGAAGGAAGGGAACACTGAGACTATATACTCTGGGGGAGGGAGACAGTGAGACACAGGTGCAACACATTAGGTCAGGGCAGGTAATCACACAAGAGGGAGACACACGAGGGACCTGAAACAAGACGAGAGGTGAGTATCAACATAAAACAGGAAGTACAAGACAAAGAACACTGGGAGAAACAAAAAGGTAACTCAACTTTCCAGTCAGGGCATGACAGCCGACTGACATCTACGGTAGATATGATACTGACTTTGGATAAATACCCCGTAAAACCTCATTTCAGAAAATCCAAACTGTCTCTTTTACCCTTCCACTGTCACTTTAACACAAACAGATACAAAACAGCTTCACTTGTTCTGAGCTGAAGATGGGTGAGAAGCACTGATGTTGTGATATTCACAACAGGAGGCCACAGTAAATCCTTTGGGCAAACAGCTCATCATATCACTATGATCAGGATGACATTTGGTGGATTTGTGGTAAACATAAGCATGGGGTGGAGCAGCACAGTCGTTTATAGTAAGCTAATGAGATCCATGTGTATTTGAAGTCTTTTGTCTGTTTAATTCAGGCTTCAACTTGTTAAAACCACCAGCAACTGCAGATGATGTCTGCTGTCAGATGGCAGGAAGGAATCTGCTCTTCGCTGTGCGACACGCTTAACATATTTTCACTCGCACTCTCTGTTTACATGTTTTCTTTGGCAAAGTGTATGTCTGCTGCTCTTTGATTGCCTTTTTAATTGCTTATGGTTATAAGACACTTACCTGTGCAGTGCACCTGGTTATTATCTCTGGATTCACTTGGTTATATGAGCAAACATTGAACAAAGAAATACCAAGGAACTGGAAAAACACCTACTTTTTATCACATGCTTGATTACCTTCCATAAAAGGAGAATATTTTATCTGCAGCCTGATATGCCTTAATATAGCCTAGTATCTGGGTAATTATTGATTAGGGAGACAATAATGAGGAAAAAAATCAATCTACAGAACAATCACTGCATTTAAATCTGCATGTTATGTGAGTGGAAATTCCTGCAAACAATATGAGTCTTTTTTTTTTTTTTTTTTCAAAAAGGATAAGTTGCATTGTAAAAAAAATACAGGCAAGGACTGGGTATCTGTCTCCTCCTACAGACAGACGAGTTGGGAGAGGTCCGGCTTAGGTCTATAAATACTGACTTCAAGACAGCAAAAGGAACTGCATCTCTATGGGACATCCCTTCATACCAGAACTAGGTAAGTGCTGGAGATCACTGCAGTAATAGGATATTTGTATTAGGTGTTTGTTACAGTGACTGGATAGAATTACTCTTTTTATCACCACCGCACTATGTCTGAGCACCTGGATAATAATTTCTTTAAATCATCTGTAACTGAATTTTTAATCATTTATTGGATTTTTTATGTTATGTGTTTTTATGGATCATTTTTAACATTGTTGTTATTTCATTTCAGCTTTCATAACCACAGACACAATGGCAGGTTAGTGCATTTTTGCTCAGAAATTATTTCCCACAACAAGAAAATACAAGGCATTATCATTTAGGAGATATTAAATATCTCAGGGCAGGATTTGCCTTGTAAACATGCACAGTGTTTGAAATGCCAGCCTCAGTGATTGCACAATACGTTTCCTCTCAGTGCTAAAAGCTCATCGGTCAATAATGCCTTTATATCTACAGACACAAGCTTTCAGAAGGAGTTCCTGGAAACCCACAACACCTACAGGGCGAAGCATAATACGCCACCGTTGAGGTTCAGCAGCGAGCTGAATTCTTCAGCTCAGAAATGGGCTGATCACCTGCTGGCAATTGGCTCCCTTCAGCACAGTGGCAGTATGGAGTATGGAGAGAACATCTACCTTAAGAGGGGCACAGCAACCATGACAGGTGGATTATGCACCAAACCCATTTCTTCTTTTTTTGCATCCTTTCATTATGTTATTCTTTTTTATTCAACATTAGCCTCACTATTCAAATATCATTTCTTTATTTTAGGTGATTGATTTATTTGTTCATCTGCTGAGGTTTTTTTTTTAAAGATTTGTTTATTCAAAAAAAAAAAAAAAGTTCTGTACAGCATTGCTCATAGTAGAGTACAATACAAGAGTGTAACTTTTAAAAGAACAAATACCACTACTCTCCACTTACAAAGACAAAGCAGAAATATAGCTGCAAGCTGCGATTCTGGGATTCAAGTCAGCATGGGCCTTTGAGTCTTGAAAGCTGAGTAGGATTAAGCCCTTTGACAGTTTACAACACTTGCATTGAAGACCACCAGGTATTGTGATTACAGGACAGATGCTTATTCATTTACGTACAAATTTGTGCTGGGCCATGCTTTTCTTTTCTGTCGCTTCCCATTGGTTAATTGCAGAAACATTCTGGGGACATGGTTCAATAAAGTAGTTAAAAACATCCCCTGTGTTCAGTGATATTTGCACGGGCTGTCATTGATTTATGGCTAAATTTTACGAAAGGCCAATGCACTTCTTTGGAACTGGTGGTGTCCCCTATTGAGTAATTTTAAAATAATTTACACATGTGGTTCAACATTATTATTTAACATATCCTGCAAGTTTTGTGATGAGTGGACAAACAATTTATGATTTATAGTCTGATTTGTGTTATGCCATGTCCATTTTGTTATATTATTGTTATTGTTATTATTATTATTTTATTTTATTTTTTTGCACTTGCACTTTGCACGTGACTCCTAATGGTCGATTTTAATGACACTTTCAAGGTATGCAGCCAGTACTTATCTAAACATGTCTTGCAAATTGATGATTGGCTCAACAGTTATGGAGTTAGGTCCATTCATTTGCCCCCCCTCGTGGCCCAATTGTTGAAAAACGCTTGCTAAAGTGCCCGTTTGGGAGCCAAAATGCACGCTAAAGTGCCCTTTTTTTTCTTTTCGCCACTGCCCTTCAAAAAGTCTGTGCACGCCACTGTCACTAGATAATGGTTCATGCCAAGATCAAATAAAAATATTAATTCTGGGAATGTATTCATATGATTTTCAACAAAAGCATCTGGAATGGATGACATGAATGATTTGAATTCAATTGAACTTTATTAGCTTCTCTTTTAAACACTATAAAATGTTGTTTGCAAGTACAGCATAATCCAATTATCTATCACATTTGCAACTGAAAAGCTCTGTGCATTTCCATTGTGCCTTCTTGCATGAGCACTTTGTACCACAACCACTTATGCTTTTACAACCACACTTCACCAGCTCACTGCATGCTTTTGAAGCCATTGGCAGAAGGGTAAGGGTTAGGGCTAGGGCCAGTACTCGAGTTGAGGGGGGATGAGGGGGGATAGCATCCCCCTTGAAATAAAAACGGTCAAAATCATCCCCCTTCTAAAACTGCCATCCCCCCTTTCCATCCCTTGTGTCATTTTTTTTGAATGAATGTGGTATAACTGCTATTTCAATATTTAGTTTTACCTTTGGTTTCATGCATATCGAGTAAAATACTGTGGGCGAGGGCACACATGCAAAGATATGTTTATATCATATCTCAGCGAGCTGCGCCGTGGATGTTATGCCTGTGCTCTATAGAGAGCGCCCGAACAATGCATAGTGCATCCAAATTCACACTTGTTCTTCTCTATGGATTTTCTCTGCAACCGTGCGTCATAGCGAGAAGCCATCACGTGAAACAGCGGAACCGCAGCTTTCCAACAAGACTAAGCACTTGTCGGTGGTCCAATGTTTTCACAGCAAAAAAATGATAAAATTACACTAAAATGATGTATAACAGAGCTTTCATACAGCTTTGCACACACATTACTCTTGGATGGATTACTCGCGAATGCAGGGTCGCACAGAAATGCCACACATATCACATGAAAGCGCAGGACTAGAGCTTTCCAGGGATACCACACACATCATTGTACTGTCATCCCATCACGCTATAAATACAGATCAAATGTCTACAAAATAAAAACCTAACAAATTTCTTTACAATCCATTATACAGATCTTGTTATCAGTCACTTCATATAGTGAGGAATAATATTATTACTATGTAAATATTGCATGTTTCTTTCAGATAAAACACATTTTTGACTTGTGAATGAGTCAATGGAATTTCTTGCAATAATGAAAAAATACTGGCTATCATGTCCACCTGGCACAAACCACATGTTTTGGACAGCTGTGAAGTGACAGAATGTCCCACCATCATGGTTCTTCAGATATGGCAGAATATGTCAACTTCCAACTTGCTATGGTGAGATACATGTAAAAATGTAATAATTTAGGATACAATTTAGGAGGATAACTATGGCCAGCAAGCAAGGGCAAGAAATGTTGAGAACAAAAAGCATTACTATGAAAATCTCTGGAAACTTTTATGAGACAGGGGAGAGTGGGGTAGGCAGCCATAGAATTGGTTCTATGTATTTTGTATTATTTGTATTTTTAATATATTTTTATATTTTAAGTTTCAATTTGCACTCCATGCCCTGAAGTTGGGAATTTTAACCTACAATATTTGTATTTGTAACAATAAAGATCAAAATTTTTCCCAATTTCTTTTTCATTTTTTTTCATGAAGGGGTTCTTGTTTAATTTATATGATTTAATTAATCACAATTAAAAAATAACCCTTAGATACCAGTTTGATCATATACCACTAACTGCTTTTTTGAAAAATACACTATAATTCAATATTCTAAAAGCAAAATTGACTTTGATTATTATTAGTATGATCGGTTGACCCAAGTAGAAGAAGAAGAAGAAATGATTTTGACTTGTCCTGTGCATTTGACCCTAACTATGTAAGAGCAGTGGTGCTATGGCAGACCCTCTGCGCTGTCTTCAGCACAAATTATGTCCCCATGTGAAAAAGTCCACCATCAAGCCTGATTTTTTTTTTTTTTTTTACAACTTGAGTACTGGTTAGGGCTAATCCTAACCCGCTGAAACTAGCTAGCTAGGTAGCCTAGTTATTAACCTGTACTTGCTAGCTACTTGCTAGCTACTTACAGCAATGTCATCATCCAAAAATAGCATTCTTCTGATAGAAATGTTTTTGGGATTTTCTTTTTTGTTTTGTTTTTAACCTAAAAACACTTGCTGGTAAATTTCTCTGGGAGTTTGTGTCAATAACTGAACATCTAACTGTCTAACTGAGCATGTACAGAGTGACTGGCATCACTCTAGCTTACTTCATCAAATGCATATTGTTGTCTCAAACGATGTTTGGGTAGGAGTAATTCCTGGACTCAAAATATTTCTTGGAGTTGCTCTTTGGTTAGGGATACATATAGACATCACAAAGAAGTTTCAAAGCAATCTCTTTAAAAAGTCAAATACCTTTATAATGGCATGGTCATATTAGACATAGAAACAATCTCCAGCGCATTTCAGCACCAGTCTTTCGTGAAGGAACAAACCAAATTATTTAATATTGGCACAAACAATCATCTAGTGATATTCCTAATAGCTTCAATGCATTCCTTGACCCAGAAAATGTGTATTTTGACACCAAGATTGACCTTCTAAGTAGACTGGAAGCTGAGATATTGGCACTTATAGATTTTACATGGCGGCCATCTTGGAAATCCAAAATGGCTGCCTTCCACCATTGTGATGAAGCGGCTCCCCTTCTAAATTGAAAGCTATGGTGATGGAGAACACATAAAAAAAATTTGGTGCTTTTGTCCGGCGCGTCCCCATTATTTTGCTAAGCCGCCTGACTATACCTTAATGGTTCTTGCATGTTTTTCATGGAACACATTGAGCTGCACTTGTGTGCCACATTTCAAATCAATGGGACTTACAGTGTGAGGGGCATGACCTTTCAAATATTTAATGAGCCCCCAATTATATAGCGCCCTCATCAGGCTAACTGGCATCATATTTGTTGAGCAGTATTTGCACACTCACAACTTCCAACCACTGGTGAAAATTATAGGTAACTATACAATGTACCTTCTCACAGGAATTTGCAAAAACATTTCTCGAGGAAAAAATGAAGTCAAAGCAAAAACAACAGATTTCAGTCCTTCAGGCTTGAACCCTGAATTATTAAGCAAAAGAAAAAAAAAAAACAATTCAAGGTTTTACTGCTACAGCCTTACTTGTTCTGGTATATATGTTAGATTCTTTAAGACATTCCTGACTCAGTTCTTTGAAATGAATTGTACTTCCTCTAGTGTAACACTATCATTTACCAATTACCACCCACCTGTAATTTTAATTTAAAGTTTCACAGGCTTGCTTTAAAGAAGTCATTTTGTCATTTCTGTAATTTTTTAAAAATGAGAATCCCTTCTTTGTCATCGCAGTTTGCTTGTTAGCTAAACTGTCCTTCTCTGACTCCAGCTGCCAATTCAAATGTTCATATTATGTTCTTTTTTTTCTGTCTCTTGTTCAGTTTTAGGGAGAGAGGCTGTGGATTCTTGGTACAATGAGATCAAGAATTACAACTGGAGCAGGCCTGGATACATGAGCAATATTGGTAAAATTAAACCCACCGGATGGATTCCTCAAGCAAAGCCATAAATAGAGATAGACAGATATGTATCTGTGTCGGGATCAACATTTCTGGGCGTCACACGGAGGCACCAATTATGTTGGGAACAACAACTTTTGGTATCATACGGAGGCACCATTTATGTTGGGAACAACAATATTAGGCCTCACCAAGGTGCACCATTAATATTGTAAGTTATTCTGGTGGTACTATAAAAGAGGGGATACTATGTGTTGTGATCTAGGCACCAGTGCTATGTTTTACACGGCGGCATCATTGGTTGGGATTAAAGCCTTAACACGGACCTGACCTTGTTATAGATCTCCAATTAAAGCATCAAATTGGCTATCAGAAATAATGAATCATTATTAATAACAATTAGTAATTATGTTAAATAATGTGACTTAATTTACATAAAATCACCTCGTGGGGCACCATTCCCGGAAAGGGAAAATGATAGCCAGTAAAAGATATCTGTCTCAAAAGTTCACTAAACTATCAAATTGGAATTTTGATTAATAATTAAATTAATAACAATAACCAAATTTAATTAAAGCCTGAAGGATTTCGGAGTTCTTGACGCAGCAGAGGTTGACTATTCATTCAATCTTGTGCAACATTTTATATTTATTCATGAAGTAAATAAAGCAAAACCAAAACACACAAATTCTAACTTACAAACTATATACAAGCTTGGTGTGTGTATATGTGTGTGTGTATATGCATGTGTGTGTGTGTGTGTGTGAGTGTGTGTGTGTGAGAGAGAGAGAGAGAGAGAGAGAGAGAGAGGCAGGTGTGGTGATCAAAAGGGCCGTTTGGCCTACAAAACAAAATGGCTGACAACAGAGAACTACAAGATGGCCAAATCAAAGCTGGCTTCAGATCGGGGGAGGTTTTTGTCTAACCGTGTGGTCAGGACAAAGACAAAGGAAGAGAAGCGGGAACTTTGAGTTGCCTCTTTGGGTGTAGCTCTGTTGAAAGCCTATTGTAAATGAGTTTATGAGAATGTGATATGTGTTGCAAACGGTCTGGATCAATGCAGAGGATGTTTAGTTGCATGCAAGATGTTGTCTGTGAACAGCATTAGCAATCTACACACTTAGCTTTGACAAAGCCAGCTAACCAATGACCTAACTGCAAACAATCACAATTTACTCAAGAAACAGCATTAAATTACATACAAGTTTAACAGTCTTGCTTAGCCTGTAAAGCTGTGATTAAGCTATGCCCAGTTGTTACGTTATCGATCCTTGAACGGATGGAAGAAAGAGTCACTTTGTGGTGTGCTGCTTTTGTTAGCCAGCAGAAGAAGGCTGGAAAGAGCTGTGGTTCCAGAAGCAGTCTTTGTTGTGTCCTTGTTCCAAAGGTGCAAATCTGAGGAAGCTGGTCACTTGGGGTCCTTGCAGAGTTAGACACTGGGGTGCTAACTCAACTTGGTTCTCCTTGTCGCTGGAAAGTCAGCCACAAACCTTGTGCTTGCACCGCTAACTTCTTTGGATCAGGTTAAGAGAGTCTGTGATTGCCCCACCTTTGATGGTTCAGGGCAAGGAGCAAGGGTCTGAGCTTGTTGGAAGCCCAAGAGAAAAAGGAGGCTTGTCTGGGCACCTCTGGGCTGGTCCACAGCTCAGGGCAAAGAGGTGTGGGCTGCTCGGCAGGTCAACGAGCAAGAGAGCATCTGGGCTGGTCCCAGCCCAGCAGAAAAGAAGAAGAGTCTGAGAGGATGCAGAACTTATCTTAAGGCCCGTTTCCACTGAAGAAGTTCCTGGTACTATTTGGGGGGCAGGAACTACTACAGGAACGTCCTCTCGCTCGGCCCTCTCAACCGCTGTGTCTCCATTGAGAGAGCGGAGTATGAGGAAGGTTCCTGTAAAGTTACGGGCTCTGGATGTGACGTAATCGTTGCGCGACCATTTTGGCCGGGGCGACGTAGGGACACCGTTAGCCAGTAGCGGTGTCTGTAATAACTCACTAAATGGCTTGTGAAGAAAATATTTTTTCCAGCGGATTTCTTAGTTACAACATGATTGAGCTAACTGGAGTAGTTTCATGTCGTATCCGACAACGGGAGGCTTTTAACAGATGACGTCCTGATGTTAGCTTTGCTGCTGCTATTAGCTGATGCTTTCTAGACATCGTGACTTCCCATAACTGAATAAATACCGCACATATCAACACAAAACTGCTTTGCTAGCTCAATCATGTTGTAACTAAGATATCCGCTGGAAAAACTCTTTTTTTCACGGGCCATTTAGTGAGTTTTTTTTAGATGGCGGCGGAAGCTATATGAACGAGCTAACCCTCGTCTGCTGAGTTTTAAAAATGCCGGCNGCAGACGTAAGAAAGACGATAATCAACATGGAAGGAGCTGAGGTGGTTGCTGGGTTTCTGGCGTGTCTCTTCGTTTACATGGCGGTGGAAGCTATGTTTAGCCCCTGTAAAAGTTCCGGAACTCTGTCCTTCGGGGGTGGTTCCTGCGGTGGAGACACGCACCAACAGCCCCGGCCCCGTAAAATTACCCCGAAGTTCCTGCGGTGGAAACGGGCCTTTAGAGTTTGTTACAGTGAAATCACAGAGGGGCATGTCACTGTAACAGTACTGTCCAATCAAGTTTGACGACTGGTTTCACTGGGAGGTGTGAGGTGATCTCCTGTGGAGATGAGTGTCAAATAGTTGTCTTTGTTTGAAGAACAAAGAGCATGCAGACAAGGAGAGCCCTCACATGTCCAGTTTAGATTTTAACAAATGACAAATCATCTGTGGTCCTATGAATCCCAACATCTGTATCCCTAAAATATCTATCATTTGAAGATTAAGCCATAAGAATAAGAAGATACTAATAAAAAAAGTACTACTTTGTTATGGTGCTCTGTAATTATTAGATACATTGGGGAAAAGAATCTAGGCTAACATCAACCTTATGTACTTGTTTGAATGTAGTCGCAGGATGTATTTTACATGTAGGCTAATAGAGTGGCTAAAGGATGGCATTTTTATGTAGGCTGACACTTAAGTTAGCGTCACACTTGTTCCCTTGTCAAAAAAGCCTATGGGATTTTTCTACTGGATTTTGCATTATTGCAGAAAATAAGCTCTGTGGAGAACAAACGTTTATGATACTTATACATTTTGGTCGGCAAGGTAATCTTCATAAATGAACATCACGTTTATGACTTTTGGAGACTAAATTCAATCACCTGACGTAAAAACTAGGCTATAAACTAACTACACCATGGTCTCATGACTTAACGTCGCCACCACAGTACATGTACAAAGACGTGTTAGGCATCATTACGTCATGTAGTCTTATTTAGCCACTAGTTAGCAACCACTTTTTTTGGAAACATAAAAGCTTTGAAATTGACAAATGGGTACTGACATATTTTATGTGGTAGAACAAAACATAGACATCTCCTAAGCTTTTGTTAACCACAGACGTTATTACAGCCATCTTACTAAAAACCCATGCAAAAAACCCACTGAGTGTGTTTCAGGACTCATTTCTGGGGGACTCTATGCTGTGTTAACACTACAAGCTACAATGCAACAGCAAGACCAGCTAAACTATCGCCTCGTCACTGTTGGACTCAAGCGCTCGTTAATGCTGTTAAGTAGTCACAGGCTTGTGTGTCTGCCTCTTGCAACAAAGCACCTCGACTGAACTTCATCTAAAGTTTGTATTTGGTCAAAAATATATCTGTGGGTTTCATCAATTTCTGAGCCCCACTTTAGTATCAGATTTTGCCACCCGATTGCATTGCATGTGCAGCGCCATGCACAGAAAGTTAGCACAGTGTAAGGTAACTACACGAAATAACACAGAACAACATCTAAAACCATACCACATCATTGGATGACATTTCATGTCCATCCTCAATGACAAATGTCAGGGGTCAGTTTGTAGCTTCATGTCACCAGCTTCCATTGAAAATGACTTGTAGCCTGTAGCAACACAGCATAAATATAAAGTATTATGCATATTATACAACATTGGAAGATGGCGTTTCTTTTGCAAGTTACATATAGTGTCATACTTTGACCTTACTACACCACTGTGTGTCCTCCTGCAGGTCATTTTACTCAGGTAGTGTGGAAAGAGAGCACTGAACTGGGCGTTGGTATGGCCACTGATGGCAAAACTGTCTTTGTGGTTGGGCAGTACCGGCCAACTGGCAACATGATGGGGGCGGAACACTTTGCTGAAAACGTCCTCCCACTAGGTAATATATTACCAAAATTTTGCATATTTTATTATTGGAGTAGGAGATGAAGCACATTACCTTGCAAGGCAGCAGAAGTCAGCTTTTCAAATTTGTAGATCCAGAGAAGTATCTGTTTAACCTTTAAATATTTCACTGCATCTTGTAAATGCAACATGATTACGCCTTGAAGACATGGTTTTATCCAAATTAAGATTACATCACACCAAAGACCAGTGGTGGAAAGTAACCGTAAGTACAATTACACAAGTACCTGAAGGGACAGTCTGCATAATACATACAGTAAATGTCAGCCAGCATGCCCTCAGTTCGGAGGAGCAGGCTGGAGTCTGACAAGTAAGCTAAGCAATGTACTGCTGTGGAGGGGTGAGCAACAAAATGTATTTTAGCCACCTAAAAAAAAGTCTAAGTATGCTATAATGACAGTATTTTCACAGCTTTACCTTTCCATCAGACAGACTGCCCCGACGGAGAAGCCATAGTTCATTAGTTCCCCATCTATGCTCTTGACAAAGCCACCAGACTCCAATTTAAGCTTGCTGAACACAGTAGAAGCCCCAGCAGCTCCCGTGTTCAGCAGTGTTATATCACTGTTTTTCTCATTGGAGTCTGGTTTTGAAGAGAGTGATGTAACGGCTTCATTTTTCTGTTGGAAATCACTGTCTGCCATTAGGGTAAAGCAGTGTGAAAATACTCTCAATATAGTGTACACTTAAAATGATCTTGATATTTTTAGGTTGGACTTTTTTAGGTGGCTAAAATATGTTTTGTTGCTGACCCCTCAGCTGCAGTACATTGGTTAGCTTCAATGTCAGACTCCAGCCCGCTTCTCTAAACTGGGGGCGTCCCAACTGACATCTACTGTATGTAATATCCCAGCTGGTTGTGGGCAGCTTTGCATGTGATTTCGGCATCAGACACCAATGCCAAAATCCACCTTTTGCAGCGGTATGGTACGGCAGTTTGTAATGCGGACAGACGGAATCTTTTACAGTGTTATGATTTGCTGCTGGTCAGCTGGACAGCACTTGTCACAGCTGTATGATACACCACTGGATGGCATCAGGTTGAAACGCTGCCGGTAATGACATAATATAAGGAGCTGGAAAGTGCCTATAGGGAGGGGTGGTTGATGGGTCCAACAAACCCTAGACTTTCACCCGAGAGCTCGTGTTCACTTCCTGTTTGAATGTAGAGCCAAACCGTTTTTTTTCCAAACCTAACCACAGGCTTGTGTTGCACAATAAAGTAAACATAGGTACAAGGTGTTTTCAATCAATGAATCAATCAATTTTATTTATGAATCCCAATACCACAAATCACAATTTGCCTCAGAGGGCTTTACAGCATACGACATCCCTCTGTTATAGGACCTTCGCAGCAGATAAGGAAAAACTCCCCAAAAAAACCTTTAACGGGGAAAAAATGGTAGAAACTCAGGAAGAGGAGGGATCCCTCTTCCAGGATGGACAGACATGCAATAGATGTCATACAGAACAGATCAACATGATAAATTAACAGCTATCCGTATGACACAGTGAGACAGAAAGAGAGACAGAGACAGGGAGAGATGCAGGACAGACGGAAATGACAGTAGCTTAAAACAACATTAACTAAAGTAATAATATAATTCTAATTAGACATATTGTGGTACAATATGTTGAAAGTATATATTAATATCTGATAGTATACATATGTGACAATAATCATATGTGTATAATAACAGTAGAAGTATGACTAATGATAACAGCAGCAGCAGGAGGCATCTGGCAGGACCACGGCAGCAGCACAACCACACAAGTCACACTATCCAGGCACCGCTGCAATAAGTTAAAAAAAGTTAACACCTGAGACAGTGGAGCACAAAGGCTCCGGAGAAGAAGCCGAGTTAGTGACATGCAGTAGAGCTGAGATGTCAACGGCACTGACCAAGCAACAATATGTGACAAGTTGGGATGAGAACAGATTGAATAAGTAACCTATGAAACCCCACTTCAAAAAATCTGAACCATCCTTTTAAGGGGGAAAACATGAGTACCTTTTTTAAATAACCCTGATGCTGCAACCGTAAGCTAAATATCCTCTGCTCACTCTGTGGAAAGCAGATGCTTCAGTCTCAATCATCAAGGACAGATGTTTCATCTCATGCTGCCACTTCTGAGTCAGCTAGATGAATTTGACTCATTCTCATCTGGTGCAGATTTTAAGAATACTTACGTATTTCCTGCAGCAGTGTCTTCTCATGCTTTAGCATCATCAGTTGAACACTTGCATGTCTCACCAGTATTTATTGTCACTTTCCAGCATAAAGGCTGTGCATTTTACAGCTGGCAGAGGAGGGTGGAGCAGAAAATACGTCCAGTGAGGGAGATGAAGTGAGTCTGAGGAAAACTTGCACATCGTTGTAGAGGACCTTGACCATCTCTGCAACCCCCAACACACTGTTGTTGAATTTTCCATGTTGTCAATAAGTAAAAAACATCAAATAAAACATGCTGTTGTATAAGACTGTCTTGATTTAAAATACTTGTGATTGTACTGAGGTTCAGTAAATCAATGTAGAATTGGTGTTTTCAGTTTTTATGCAGTATATGTCAGAAAATTTCACCCATGGCATAAATGCAGTCCGAGCTGATATAAATTACTATCCACCAATCATCACTGAGTATAATCAGTGTATTCAATTATCTTATGAGCCTTACTCCTGATATTCCAATATACTGAAGCATGTAATGTTGGATACAATAAATAGTAGGTAGTCTAAATCATTACAAGGTGTTCATGAAGCTCTGCTTTTAACCTGTTGAACCCTAAAGTCCCCCAGTTGGGTAACGTCTAGAGCTGCTAATAAAGGCCTGGTGTGTATCAATACACTGATCAGAAGAATATAGTGATGTTGCCCATCAAATTTAACAGCAGAACCTCAGCTACAAGGCTGTAAAAAAAACTTTTTACATGCTGAAAACTTTTTAATATCAACTAAATAAACAACAACAACTAACTCCAGCAACTCCAAACAGCACCGATATCTCGACCCACTCGGTATATTTCGGGCTCTAACTCAACTACATGTTATTCAAAACACACACCATTCATCTCAAATGAAAGCTGAGACTCCACTCTTTCCACATGTATACTACATGTATGATTGTATCCAAATCACTCTCCCTTTAACCATCACAGAGCTACAGCCCAAAGAACAACAACAACAACAGAAATCTCTTTGCCAAAATATATTTGTAATATGGCTCTTACCTTATTAATTTCGCCGTAAAATGCGCATTCTGCTGTTGTTTCATGCTCCGTTCGCGTACTACCGAAAGTTGTCCGTCATTCAAATGAATCTGGGCGGAAAAAAAGGTTCCGGGGGGACAAAAACAATGACCACTCACAGCAGCCGATATCTCCCCACAACGCGTTCTGCTGACTCTGATTGGCTTACAGTGCTGTCAGTCTCTGAGATATGGGCCTACAAAGCTCAGAATAGAAACTAAGGTTCAAATGTAGTAGGTGTATATTGGTCAGTCTGGAGTGGGAAATCAAGTAAAAAAACGAAACAGACCGTTGTATATGTATACCCTAAACATCAGTAGGGTTTTACAGAAACAAAAAATGAAAGATATAGGATTGTACATGACAAAAATCACATGCAAACATGATGCAATTTTGCAGAGCTCGCCTGAATTTTCTGTACTAAAATCTCTCTAATATTGTTCTGCTTCACTTTATCAGAATCAACCTTTGCAGAGTTAGTGTTCACATATTGTACTATTGTACTATGTACTATAAAGGGATACTCTTCCTAAAAATGCTTTTTTTTTTTTTTTTAGGCGAACCTCAAAATATTTCATTTGTGCTGTGTGCCATCTTCATTTACTCCTCACATATAACACATATACTGATATTTACACATCTTAACAAATCTCACAAGTGTCCCCTTTACCATGACACCAAAAGTATTCAAATAGACCTTGTGGTTGCAGAGATATATTCATTTCATTATGGATAGGCTATGCAATTTTAGAGCAGAGGCCTATAAAATAGGCTTAGGGTTTGTCATTACAAGGTGTTCATGAAGCTCTGCTTTTAATACCATCCTACCTGGCAGACTGGTGACCAAACTGTCGGAACTGGGAATACCACACTCCACCTGTCTATGGATAAAGGACTTCCTCACAGACCGCCCCCAGAGGGTAAGAGCAGGTCCCCACCTCTCCTCAGCCATCAGCCTCAGCACCGGCTCTCCACAGGGCTGTGTGCTGAGTCCACTACTCTTCACCCTATACACGCATGACTGTACCCCCACACACGCCAGCAACTGCATCATAAAGTTCGCTGTAGACACCACCGTGGTGGGGCTCATCTCAGGGGGGGATGAGTCAGTGTATCGGGATGAGATGGAGCGGCTGTCGGTGTGGTGCACGGAAAACAACCTGATCCTAAACACTACCAAGACAAAAGAGATGGTGGTAGACTTTAGGAGGGCAAAAAAGAGCGTCATTCAACCACTGTTCATTGGAGGAGACAGTGTGGAGAGGGTCTCTGACTCTGAACTGAACTCTGCACCGAAGTACTGAAAATGTGGGTTGTGTGCTCCATAGACTGAGATCTCCTCTGAGTGTCACTATTTATTTGTTGTTTTTGTTGTGCTTTTTTATTATTTATTGTATTTTTGCATATTGTTTTTTTTTATATTCTGGGGCACTTAAAAGTTTGCACTTTAAATTTCGTTGTATGAAGTATTGTACAATGACAATGAAGCTATTCTATTGTATTCTATGAAGCTATGATGAGTGATGGGATGCAGCTCTGACAGCCCTGATAACATCTGGACACCTACTAATAGGTTCATTCGAGATGAGCCAGTCCTGCGCAAATTCGATCACCAGCGATCGGCGCACAGTGCATGCCGGTTAGTTTTGTGTCCGACTTCATTCCGACTTGCTCTGACGTATTACAAAAGTGGACGGCGATAAAGTCGCGAGAGCGAGGCGGCCGCAGTTTGTGGAGCCAGGCGCTGCAGTTGCTCTCCACCGACTGCACCGCCTGGCTCTCACCTGATCTAACAGCTGATTGGTTCAGATGTCGACTCAACAAGATGACGTTTTAGATAAACTACTCATTTTTGTTAAATTTTAGAGATTAAGATTGTATTTGTCTGATTTGAAGGTTTATTTTGCGAACAGAAAACATGTTGTGTGACTGATGGTGAAAACAAACTGATATGGGTCTGATCACTTTTTTAATGAATTGACATCATTCCAGACAGGATGTAATATGTGTCTGTGACTTCCTGTACGGACTGAAGGCTGCTGGAAACTGTCGGGAAACTGTCCGACTTCACCGCAGCTTTTTGTCACCGCCCCCCGCTGCGGCCGCATGCTCTCGTCTACTTTCCAGGCGAGGCGCAGTTCATCTCGAACGAGCCTATTGCCTGATATAGAGGAAAGGCATTGTGGGTAGGTATGATTGTAGTTCGTATTTTAGAACCTTACAATCAGCACTAAAGAATTAATCTTTGTTAAAGAACTCCACAGGTTAAGAGCCATTTTCGGGCTCTTAGATGATTGCAGTAGAAACAAAAATGAGCATTTTCGGAATGCATGTGCAAAATATTATTTATAGAGAACAATAGATAATATGAAACAAAATGTATATAATTTAGAACAGAGCAGTTTCAGCATACTATTTACTGCTGCTGCTTTATTGAAAGCTGTTATGAATTGATACACACTTTTTTTTATTCCTCAGGGGTGTAACTAACTAACAAACTTGAGTAGTCTTCTCATGTGGAACCCATTAAAACTAGTGAGAAGGGTGAAAAATGACTCGTCACCTATAGTAGTAACATAACCTTAACATACTCCCAAGGTGCAGGAACCAATCCCAGCTGACACTGGGCGAGAGGCACCGTGTTGCTCATATCATATGCATTGTGCAGAATGTGAAAAGGTGTGATCAATCCCAATTCATTATTAACTTTGTTTAAATTAAAGGGGTAAGCCACCTAAATTGAGAATTCCAATATGTTATTTCCTCGGCCAAGGAAGGTTTAATCAATATTAGTGAATATGAGCTACTCTCTCTCAAAGCCAGAAACCAGAGAAGGAAATGGGACGTCATAGTGTATTTAGACATGAGCTGCTCCATAAACAGTGAATAGGAGACTGAGTTTGTGGACCCACAGTTTGTTTTCTTTTTTTATATGAGCTTTACTCTGTTGTAGTATTCTCAGTTTTGAAACAGAAATGTATGCATATACTTAGAACATTCCCCTGGGTGCATGGACGGATTACTGAACCGGCCTACTGGGCACAGGCCCAGGGGACCAAAGTGTCAGGGGCCTCCCTGGTCAACACCTGCAAAATGTCACTTATATAAACATGTACTGACCAGGAAGAGACTCAAAATGATCACAAAGAGATGCCAAAAGATGCAAAGGAATTAGAAAGAGGCATGAATGGATGTAGTTCCCCCTTAACATCAAGAATAATGTTTTAGTTATTTCAAAATCAACAATTACTTATGTCATACCTACATAAACAATCAGGCAACTTAATGTAAACAAGGGCTATAGACTTGAACGAAGTTGAATTATCTTCAGCTCCTGTGGCATCTACTGTCCCTGTGAAAACAATTCCAGAAAGTACCACTAAGTGGCAGCGTAACACAACAGAATGTGCTCTTTTGCTCTGAAAAGCAGGATGTGCACACGCACAAAAAAAAGAGATCTAATGTTTTGAGAATGAAAAACCAACAACTTAAATACAACATGTTTTATATGGTGTTTATTTACCTCTGTAATTTATGACTGAAATAGATTTGAAAGCATATAATTAAAATCCAGTGACCTCATTTCCAATAAAGCACTTACATGTTACATGAAGATGATACTTAGAAATGCACAGCATGGTGTGATAAATTATTAATTTCATTTGCATCCAGTTAGTATTAAGAACCATGAGAAAGGTAACAGCCACACAATATAAACCTTTCAGGATCAGTGTGCTATTTCATATTAGAATGGGAACAAATTCTCTGCTTTATATTAGATATTAAATACTGCACTCAGACTGAATGATTCTGAATGGTTCTGGTAATCCATGGTTTATGGTTGTGGAATGATTTACATAACTGACAGTAATGCAAAGATGCAGTGTATCAGGAGGAAGTTGTGTAGATAAGAATGAATGTATTCTGTGTCTGTCTGTTTTGCCTCATGTCCTCTGTCCAGGTTTGTGGAGCAGGATCGTATGCTAGGAAAACCTGTCCATTATCAAAGAGTCACAGCAGCAGACACGCGTGCTGTTAGGATGAAACTGAACATGTACAGGTATGTATGCACTGAGAGGGCTGCTGGATGACCCTGAACATGCACACTTGTTAGTGCATGATCATACCTGTATGTGATTATCACCTTACTCCTAAAGTGACCATGAAATACAAGCATTCATAAAATATTAGCCTGATCCCC